GTTTAGAGGCAGCCACGATCTTGTCCGCAAAAGATATAAGAAGAATGGCCTCAAACTCCCCGCCTTCTGCGGCACAGATCCGTGCCGCAATGAAAATACCGGTCTCAGAAATTACAATATGGCGCTCTATTCGATCAAGTGAGCACATCAATCGAGAGACCATGAAGAAAGCTCCCTGTCTGACTGTCGAGCACCAGTTGGCAAGACTGAGCTTTGCGCGTGCAGTAATGGCAACGTCGTGGGACAGGGTGCAGTTTCTTGAGATATTTGTAAAATCAGATAGGTAACATCTTATGCGCATTTCTTTCTCAGGTTGTCTTCACTGATAAGAAAAAGTCAATCTCGACGGTCAAGATGAATATCGGCATTACTGGGAAGACTTTTGTAGCGATCCGTTGATGTTCTCAGAGCACGATAAATTTAGGAGGCCCCTCTTTGTTGGTACGGGGTGGTTTTGGAAGCAGAAGAAAGTTGGAGCTTGCCTTCCCATCGTGCTATATGAACGGTGAGGAATACCAAGGAGTGCTTGAGTCTAGTCTCTTGCTTTTTCTGAGCGGGCCACGACGCAGGACACATGTGATGCAGCAGGACAACCCCGCTGTGCCTGTTTCGAATTCTACTAGCAAATGACTCTAACGCAGTGGTATCAAAGTGATTGATTGGCCGCCCTCCTGACTGCAACGCAACCGAAATCCTGAGGGCGATTATAGTTCGACGAATCTACATGAACAGTGGGCAGTACAACAGCGTGCGAGACTTGAAGGAGGCAAAAGTTGCTGCATGGGAGGAAATCGACGAAGACACCATGACAAATCCTGTCCACAGCATGCCAGACAGAATGTTCGAAGTAGTAGTGAACGCTGTAGGAAGAACCAAGTTCTATTTTCCACGATACATTTGTTTTTTGTTAAGTGTCCACATACTTTTCTTATTAAGAAACTTTTTCAAAACAATAAATAAATGCACAGTAGTCCACAAAGTGCTCAGAAGTACTGTATTCCTATGTTTTCGCTTATGAGGAATTCAACAATAAAGGTCTCATATCGCAAAATTTGAAGGCAATTTCGCATGACAAAAATTTAAGGTGTTCACATACTTTTGTTACGCACTGTACTGCCGATTCATGCCATTTTGAAGAGTGGGCAGGGCTCCTTAGAAGTGGGCGGAGCTTCACTCCAAAAAATGTAAACTGTAAAAATTGTGAAAATATTAAAATTGCGGAAAAAGCGAGTGGGCGTAGCAAGGGAACGGAGCTAGACCACCAGACCAATGCGTGTCCGCGAGTACCTTTGTTGTGTGAAGAGTGGGAGTGAAAACAATGACGCTGAAAAAGTTATGAAAAGTCGAAGTTTGCAACAAATTCGTTGGAAGGTGGGCGGGCGGAGTTGCCCTATGATGATGTACCGTCCTTCTGAGCTAGTGTGTACGAAATAACAAAAGAACAAAAAGTCCCAAATACAGAAGTTATAAAATAAGTTCGGAAAATCACGAAAATCACGACCACGCTGTAATGTGGGCGTGGCTTGCAGTAGCGTTCAGTAAGGCTTGGGTAATCAAGCCATAGATCTTTCTGGAAAGTCGCAAATTTGCTTCAGAAAGTCGTGCATTTGGTTGAAAAATCGTGAATTTGGTTTGAAAAGTCGTGGGTTTGAAGTGAAAATGGTATATACTCATTGCACAATGAGCGTGCGACAATTTCAGGTTTTCTATCGACGGGTGACAAAATCCTACCAGGGAACGTCGGGCTTTGGGACCAGATATGGGCACTAAAATGGGTCAAGGTAATTCTTTGTTCATCATTTGCCTTCCAGACTTGCTATAGAACTATGAAATTTGTTCAGCTCAATGCAGAAGTCTTTGGAGGAGATTCATCAAATATACTTCTGATGGGATCAGGGAGCGGTGCAGCGTGTGCCTCAATTTTAGCACTGTCGCCAAGGGCTGAAGGTACCCTCAATGTTCAAAAACTTCCCATAGAAATTTTTGAGTGTGACTAGTGTTTCTGTGCTTCAAGTTCGTGGCAGATAATACACAACCTGGTCTCAACTGAATAGGTTTAGCTAGATCTCAGCGAACGAGATTTTGTTACAAGTATTTTGAGCACATCAGGTCTTGTCTAAGGACATTAGCAAGGAGAAGAGTCGATTAGAAATCTAAAAAAAAGTGGCTGCAGCATAAAGCAGGAACAAGTGTGGAGACCAGAAAGTGAAATTCTTTTTGGCTGCGCGGTTTAGAAATGCAAAAAAGTGGGAATGAATCTTTGGGAGAAAAACACATCTTTCTCTCTGATGCGTAACGAATCACGTGTATGTAGGATTAGTAAACTGCATCGTAATTATACTTTCACACATGAAAATTTGAGAAAATCATTATCAGCATCGAAACTCTTTCTTCTTATTCTTCAGGGATTGTCCTCTGTGGCGGGGTCCGCTCTTCTGATTTTGGTACGCCATTTCTCCTGGTCGAAGGCTTGGTGAAAGTGGACACCAACTATCTTTAGATCTGCGTGCAGCGTGTCAAGCCAACGTTGCCTAGGGCGTCCTTTAGGTTGTTTGCCTAGCACCTCGAGCTGGAGGCCAGTCTTGCAGATGTTGTCCGTATTCGCGCGGACTACGTGGCCATACCATCGAAGACGAGATTCTCGCATTTTATCAGCTATGGATGCTACGCCGAGCTTTTTGCGGCGCTGTTTAGCCACGGGGGGCATTTTGTACTAACACTGCTTCCCTAGTTCCGGTTTACGAATCTCACCATAGTAAAACTTGTGAACGCCTGTGAAGCTGGAGTGAGATCGACTAGCCACCATCCTAAGCGTGTCAACTCGAGAAAAGCTACCTAGATGAATCGGCACATCTATGAAAAGAAGAATGCCGCCCGTCGACAAACTGCGCCGCTTCTTGCTATGTCATCGTTGCAGATTCCTCCATACGCGTGACACCAGCCGTCCAACCTAGCATTTTCATCTCCATACGCTAAGACGGGCTTCAAGTTCTTTGGTTGCAGGCAAGCACTCAGCCTCGTACTACGCTACTGGTCTGGTCCCTGTTTTATAGATCTTCGATTTGAGGCGCTCTGGTATGGCCTTGTCACAGAGAACTCCAGTCATCGAGCGCCATTTCGCCCACGCTGCACTCACGCGAGAGTTTACCTCTGAGGTCAGACTGCCATCAAAGGCAATTTCTAATCTAAGACACTTAAAGGCTCTTTTGCGTGTGAGCTCGTACACTGATCTTAATGGAATCGGACTAATTGGTGTCGCTTGTGTACTCTGTTTCTTGATGTTCGACCTGAGTCCGAACTTTGCCAGGCGATCAGAACAAGCTTGCACCTGGTGCTAGAGATCGTTCTCATCTTCACTGGCGAGCACCACACCATCTGCGTAGAGAAACGTCCGAGGACTGGGCTTCTGAAATTTCGCGAGACTGCATCTAAGGCGATCACGAAAAAGAGTGTTGAGAGCGCAGAGCCTTTATGTACCCCGACCGTGATGGGAAATTCCTGGGAAGTGCCTGTTGCTGCTTGCACGCGGCTGTTTGAGCTGGAGTACAGAATGCGCACCCGCTCACTAAGCTCTTCGGAAACGCCGTTATGCTGCAAGGCGTACCATATAACTTTACGCGGCACACGATCGAATGCCCTTTCCAGGTCCAGAAAAGCTAGATGTAGTGGCTTCTGTTTCTCATGATGTCTCTCCAGCAGAAGTCTCGCGGCATGTGTAGCGTTGAGATGGTGCTATAGGCTGACACAGAGCCGCACTGACTGGTTAAAAGCTGGGCAATTCTGCGTATACAACCGTCGACAATCGCTCAAAGATCTCCATACTGTGTGACAGCAGGCGAATTGGGCGGTAGTTCGAGCAGTCCACAGTGCTACTCTTCTTTTTCCAAATCGGGATCGTCGTGCTCTCTTGCCAGTCCTTGACCGTCTTCTCAGCAACGACCTGACTGAAGAAATTCTCAACCATTCTGCAGTGTACATCAACTTGCCTTCCATAAGTCGGCTGCCACTTGGTCAGGTCCTGTTGCATTGCCTGAGTTCATCCTTCTGAGAGCCGCCTCCGTCTCTTTTACGATTATCTTCTAAACGGGACCGTATACTGGGGAGAGAAAGGGATGGCCGGGTACGCATAGTCTACGGTTGAAATGTTCTCGGAGAAGTCGTGCCATCGCCTCAGCACTCTCTTTCGATCCATCAAAAAACGGGGAATTTCTCGATATCTTTGATCTGACGATCTCGTTCTTGGCTCGCTCGAAGCATCCCGTTTGTGGAGCATAGGCAGAAAAAAGTGGTACAGTCGCGGTTTGATGCCAGTAACAAGAATCGGTCATCGGAGCGTTCTACGCTTGCTATCGAGTCCCGGGAACGTTGAGAGACTATAGCAACCGCGTTGGTGGTTTTTGCTTTGCCACGCAGAAGGGCTTTAAAGCCTCGACCGATGGATGTCCGTTGATTTGCAACTGGACCATCTTGTTTCCTGCACAGCACACACGTCTGTTCGTCTGCGCTCCAGTGCCTATGCCAGCTCACATCAGCGCCCCATCAACGTTCCAAAACTCAACGTTTCTACGCGGACCTTTTCCATGTTGCATGACTTTTGAACTAGCCTGAATCCCCCTCCCCCCCCCCCCCGACTGCCGTCCTTGCATCAGGGACCCTCGCACACTTACCACACTCGCCGGGCTATACGAGTGCGCGTCGTTCATTGGTGATGTGACTTGGGTGTTCAGAGGACGACCCTTCACAAAGGGCTGTCACCTGCGTAGAATGTCTGCGATCAGCTTAGCTCGTAGAGGCGAGCCGTTCCCGTGGCACCACGTGAAGGAGCATACTTTACCACCATCATCAGCATCGAAACTCAGGCAAAAAAAGGGTTTATCATTTCAATCTTCAGAAAAAGCGTCACTTGTCCTTTTCTTATAACTAGTCTTCCAGCCCTTGCCTTCAATATTTCTCACTTCGACCTCATTAAACTGTTTGGCTGCTGTGCACTTTTTTCTCAGGGGGCATGAAACGAACACTGCGGTCGAACTCTGAAAAAGGACAGTTTGTGGCAAAAAAGAACCAAGGGTAGTTGGACCAAGGGGAGTCGGGATGTTTCGTATGACTGAGTTGTTCGGGTTTGAGCCCGAGCAACCCGGTTATGAAACATCATTGAGGATTCTACAGAAGATGCTTTCAGAGAACCCTGAATATGCTCTTTGCTTCAAGAAAAAAAAAGATTTTGTGCCATGAAAGAAGGATCTGACTCTAGCAGGTCGTGCTAGCAAATCGAACCCTCATGAAAGGTGGATATTACAGCGAGTACTGTCACATTAAGATGACCTGTTTTCTCTCAGTGAAGAAGGAGAAAGGCACTGCCTCTGACAAAAAATTGAGTCGTATTTGGTAGAAGGTGCAGCCGAGCCATCTAAATGATATGTCTCATTGTCAGTGTTTGTCAGGCCTTCTGGTCACATCTTCTCTCTTTCATGTTTTTCGTGAAATGTGTTTTGCGATGAACGAAATCACAGTCAGCAAAAATACACAGGGGGAAATTGAAAAAAAACATCAAAGCATAAGATTCAAGAAGCCAGGCTCATTTAAATAGGTACGGCTGCATTTATCAAGAAACTCGACTCACTTTGCGATGGTTTCTCGATGCAAGTGCACGTTTCTCCTATTTCACTGGTGGAGAACGTCAGACTTTCTTACGAGAAGTCAAATCGCCTCCAGCAGAACATCGAGCTTTGATGAAGGCTCAGTTTCTCAACTCGATAGAATCAGATACTTACCCTACGATATCACGATGCGATAGCGATATATTTTTTCCAAAAAAAAGCATGGTGTCTAAGCGCTTCATATTTCTACATCCCGCAAAGTTTTTGACTAGCTCCTGTATGGCTAGGCTGTTCGGCTTCAATCTTTCGCTTTGAAATTCCGCAACTTGCTACCTACAGCAGTGTTTGTTGTGCAAGAAATGAGAAAAGTGGGGGAGAAGTTAAGTCAGGCAGAATTGGAAAGGAACAAAAAAAACAAGGGATGGAAGTGTAATCATGAAAAATGAGCAGAGCGATTGTTTTTTGAGTATGGGGAGAAAGATCTCTACTTTTCAGTTTCAGTTTTGTACCTATAAAAGTTGGTGTCTATATGCGGCACCTTTTCACGCTGAAAAACTTTTGGAAGAAATTTTCGAATGGAAGTTTTGAAATGTCCGGATGTGGTCTAATCACGGGAAGGTGTACTTAGTGATTGAAAGGTGTGTGGCAAACTGCATATGAAAAACCGCGAGAAACAGCCACCTCACTAGCGTAGGGCCACCAACGCTAAACAACATTGTAAACACTTACCTTCTAATATTGTTTGCAGACAGTTCTCGTGATCAAGTGACCTACGAAATGCCTCCGTGGACTTGGAATTTAGGTCCATACTTGCAGAGACTGAATTTCTTTCGTCACTCGACACGGCAAGATACAGACACGTGACAACCTCCATCATTTTCACTCTGCAACAAAACGGCTTACACGTGGAATTACGCGTGTGCATTGTGTTGGCCGGAGCGTCGTCTGTCGATTTCCCATGCTCATAAATGAAAATTCTACCTTGTCGACTCCTTCGCGAGCTTACGAGTTGTTCGCTTCCCCTGATACGTTTTTGAAAGCAATGTGCCAATGACAGTCCACTTCGAGAGTCTAGATGGGTTTGGGTGCTGCTCGAGTTCAGCAGCTATACAATCGATTTGGGGCAGAGAGCTTGTCCTGTGTTGGTTGCCGTAGTCATAATTTGATGGAGTGAGTTCTCCAAAGCCTTTTTGTTCCATTGTTTTTGCTTTCATTTTTTTTATTTTGGATGGCACTAACAAGGGAAGGATGGTAGGTCGAAGTATCTATCCAATTCAAATTTATTACAAGGATGGTAGGTCGAGGTGGCTATCTAATTCAAATTTATTACATGTTCCATGACATGTAATTGCGTACTCTCGAAGAACATATCATCAAGAAAAAGAACAACAACAATTAAAGAGAACGAACCAAAAACCGGTGTGAAGAAGGAGGAAAACCAAGGAAAAAAATCAAGACCCTATTTCACACAACTCAGATAACAAAAAACCGATTTCTAAACAGTGAAAAAGTATCGGATATTGGTAAAGCTCTGCTCATCTTCAAAAACTCCATGCCTGCACGGAAGGTGAAAAATTTGCGCCCTAACAGAGTACGCCGTTGCCGACAAACAAGTCTGAACCTCCAACCCGTCCTAGAAGGCGCAAGACCGTAAGATGACTGACGGTTAAGATCAAAACGTTTGTTAAGGATGTTGTACACCATCAGAAGATCATTTCGCCTGAGTCTCACGCATAATGGATCCAAGTTGATCATTTTATTCCTTACTACACCTCTAGATATACTTTTGTATATAAAACCGAGGGCTTTAAGGAAAAGTTTTCTAGTAAAGCCGTTCTGCACCCTTTCAAGTCTATCAATCACTATCGTCTTACAAAGTAAATACTGTGCCATATCCAAGCACCGAACGCACATGCGTTTTGTATGCCTTCATAAGTAGCAACAGGTTCTTAGAGGGGAGAGACTTAAACAATAGATAAATTCTCTGCTCAGCTTTAGCTACTATTAGGTTGGCGGGAACGTTCTGTCACATTTTTTCAAACTAGGCTTTATTTTTATAGAGAGGAGTGTAAGATCAAAATTGTACAGAAATGTTACTGCGGGGTCTTTGCCAGTGTTCGAGCACTTCATGGATGCCATTGCTTCACTATGCAGGGAGGCAGACGCAAAGTTGGACACCATCTCAACCACGACTTGAATTTGGGTTATGGAGGTTTCCTCGTCCGCATAACGATCGATTACGGAAGGCAACTTGCTATTGGAAGGGGCGATGTCCGTGCTACACAATTGCAAGGGGAAAGAGATCAAGTTTCATTGCATGAGGTACGGATCGAACTTTTTCGGACCAAGTACGTTGCACTATCTTGGTGAGGGCCGGCTGTGCGGACATTTATCCCTCTGATCCACGATACGCCTTAGACCTCGTAGCTGTTTTGCGTACGCCTTGAACAAGGAACCAGCTTCTTCATCCAGCAGTTTCCCAGCCCATAGCTCCCTCAAGCTGAGGTTGCAGGTAACCCAAACCTCACTTCATCATCGAGACTGTAGGCTCTATAGGCTTCCGCCTTGAAGCTTCACTGTCATGGTAAGGTTGCTCGATGATTGGGAGCATCGTGCTTATTCAGCTCCATCAATTTGGCATCTGCAGCTAACACGCTGGCGTGAGGGTGGTGGGTGAAATAGTTTGTGGAGGTTGTTGGATGGGTCGGGGCTGACGGTAGCGGATAAAATCCTTGTGCATATTGCAGAAGAAGGAGCAAGAGGCAAGCGAGTGGTACTAACAGAGAGACCACTCCTTGTTGTATAAGAGCTTACATTACCGGTTACCACTCTTGGTAATGGGTGAGTAATTTGAGTTCAGAAAAGAGTGACAGAACTTTCCAGCCAACCTAATACATATATTGTTCACATGATCTTCAAAACCCAGCTTATAGTTGACTAGAAAGCCTAAGTCCACAACAGAGCCTACCGCTTCAATAGCATCATTGTGAATGTAATACTGAATGCTAGGATTGGATTCACCTAAATGAAGCACTTTCTTTTTGCCAGCAGATGGTGGAAGCATGTTCGAGTTGGATCAATATTCTGTAACACCTATTGCCTTTTGCAGCTGAAGCTGATCGGAAGACAGGATTGGATTGTAAATCTCAAGGTCATCAGCAAACATTTTGACTTCACCTTTCTTCCTCCACCAATGATGGCAAATCGAAAGTAAAAATATTGAATAGTATAGGTAATAGAACACTACCCTGAGAAACCCCACTGGGAGCAATCCTCACGGTAGAAAATGAACCACTACCTACCACTTTACTACAACCTGAATCGTAGTCTGGAGAATTCTTCAATCCATTTGACTATCCTAAAATGAATGCCAATTTGCTTCATTTTATGCACCACAAGGGAGTGAGTGACTTCGCCAGAAGCTTTTTCAAAATTACAATAAATGACATCTACGTTGCTTCCAGCATCAAGCGTCGCGATCCAGTCATTGAGCGATTCCAACAATAGTGAAACTGTGGACTTGTTCTCTCGAGACCCATGCTGATGAGTAGAAAGTAAATGATTGGATTCCAAGAAATAGACAATGGCTTTTTTGAGGATCTTTTCAAAGAGTCTACAAAACACGGAGGTTATGCTAATTGGTCTGTAATTCTTAGGATCACTGTGAGGAGGTTTCTCTTCGATAGGAATAACGTAAGCGTGGCGCCAACTGTGCGGAACAGTTCCATGGAAAAACCATCAAATTAAAGAGAAATTCCAGTGGCCATGAGATGCTTTCGGCGATTTTCTTGATGAACGTGAAAGGAATGCCGTCGGGAGTCACAGATGAGCTATTACGCCACTTGGTTGTGCGCTCAAGTATTTCGTAGCGACACCTGACGGTGTCCTTTATTGGAGGGATGTGCTCACACTCTGCCCTAGACCTGGATAACTGACGGCACTTTCCTTAGCGTAAACTTTTTCGAAAACCTCTGCCAATACCTCAGCTTTCTCAAAATCAGAAGCGGCGACGGAACCATTAGCCCTCTTGAGAACACTGACGCCCTCTTTCCTATTGATCAGGAAGCTCAAGAATTGAAGAACGCGGCATTGTTGCAGGATTCCATGACTTTTTTTCAAGATTAATATTGTACTTTACTGATTTCTTTTGGAATTTGTCCGTGCAAACTTCATAAAGTTTCCAGTCCTCTTCACAATTTGTGAGCACGGCTCTTTTGTATTCTTGGATCCTGGTATTAAAGGTAGAAGCTAAATGTGCCGGCAAGTTAGGACAATTTAGTGAAACTTTCTTGACAGGGACAAACATGAAGATGCAGTGCTCCAGTATAAACAAGAAGGTTTCATACATTTCCAAGGTCCTCGGACGGGGATTACGAAACCGTCTTCCTATCTGCTGCGGGCCTATCAGAAAAAAGTTACATACCTTCTTAGGGGGGAGCATACTCGCATACTGTACGAATTAGCGGCGATCGTA